AAAGAAAAATAAACTATTTCTTATAAATCCATATCAATACATTATTATTCTTAGAGGGTTGCCCATTATAATCAATATATTATTATTCCTTGAAGGTTTCACATTATGTCTTATGTTTTAATGTAGCAGAATTGACCATATGCTCTGAAACAAAAAATGCCAAGTTCATTTTGGTCAACGATCTGTCTGTCTGAACTGGGTAAGACGATGAACTACATCCAACAGGAAGGCCACTGACCAGGATGTTTTGAGAATCCTGGAACCACCTTTTTAATTGCTGGTGTTCCCAGGTCCACCCTAACCCGTGGTGGTAGCACCTGTTAGGGGTCCCAGCTATGGGCAAATAGTTAACTCCCAAACTGGAGTCAAAACACTATGAAAGTGTAAAAATAGGTTTTAATACCAGAAATAGTTTGTAAAAAATTATTACCAGCTATACATATTTAAAAAAAAAAAAAAATTACCAGCTATACATTTTTTGAAATAATTAAAACATTACCAGCGATACATTTTTGAGGAAAAATATCAGAAATAAATCTTTTGAAGGAAAAAATATTACCAGCAATACATCTTTGAAAAAAAAAAATTACCAGCAATAAAAATTTTGGTGGCATTAAATAACCCATTGAGGTTGATATGCCGTAAAACATTACAAAACAAAACAAGCTAATGATCTATAGACCAATTGTAAATGCTTGTAGATTCAAGTATAACGGCCAATATTTACTTATCACTAAAATAAATAAATACTTACTGAATTAAAGAGGCAAAAATCAATATTTATCTATTTCTGAACCAATAAATGTTTATACACACAAATGAAAATTACCAATATTTTCCAATTCTTGAATTAAGTAAATGTTTATACACAAATATAAACGATCAACATTTAGCTATCCTCAAACCAAATAAGTGTTTGTAAAATCATGTATCAACGGTCAATATTTACGTATTCTTGAACCAAGTAAATGCTTATAGATTCACATGTTAATGATCAATATTTACCTACCCTCGAACCAAATAAATGTTTATAAACTCAAGCATCATCGGTCAATATTTACGTATTCTTGAACCAAGTAAATGTTTATAGACTCAGATGTAAATTACTAATATTTACCTACCCTCGAACCAAACTAAACTCAAGCATCAATGGTCACTATTTACGTATTCTTGAACCAAGTAAATGCTTATAGACTCAAATGTAAATGATCAATATAAACCTACCCTCGAACCAAGTAAAAGTTTGTAGACTCAAGTATAAATGATCAACATTTCCAAATCATATCAAGTTGAAACAACAGTTAAAATGGCGGTTCGTATACGATCACCGAAGTTAAGCAACGTTGAACCTGGTCAGTACCTAGGTGGGTGATTGCTTGGAAATTCCAGGTGCTGTAAACCTGGATGTGCGGGTGGTGTAATGATAATGGCTCGGAACTGTTAATCGGAGAGCCGAGTTCCAATTTCTGTTGTGTTCACTTACGCGTAAATAGATTTGGCATGAATCCACCGCTCCACCCCGCCTCACAGATCTGGCTTAATTATTAATTTGTATCCCTATTATCTCAAAAACAAAATTCTTACAATATAAAAATATTTTCTGGCTTTAAATAACCCGACAAAACCGAATCAACCATGAAAACAAATCAACTAATCAAATACTGATAAGCTACAGAGGCATGTCTTTCGATTTATTTACATTCTCTTTATATATATATATATATATATATATATATATATATATATATATATATATATATATATATATATATATTTACTGATTGAAAATATGTTTTTTCGCTACACAGTTCTAACCATGTTTCAAAAATGGAAGCTAAAAGCTTCGAATTTAATTTTGTAATTAAATTAAAGACATTAGTTCCATTTCATCCTCAAGCGAATTTTGGAGTAACTTATATATACACACACATACATACATATATATATATATATATATATATATATATATATATATATATATATATATATATATATATATAAACTACTGTGGCCACAAAATGAGGGACCAGTTTATATATTCGTTGAAATATAGAATTGATCCCCCACTTTATATCCACATAATTTATTTGTTTATCAAATTCTGATTAGGTATGAATCATCTGATCCCTCACAGCTATGGGTTAATAATAGTAAGTCTTGTATCATTAAACCGTTATTATCTATTCCCCCACCCAAATCTTTGCAATATAAGAAATATTTTCTGGCTTTAAATAACCTTCAAAGGGTTGATAAACCGTAGAAAACGAATCAGTTAATCAGCTTGCACATGTTTATTTGTTTGAATGTATCCTTACTCACCGTATCTTGTTCTCTGATTTCTATGCAAGCAGTAACCCTCTACTTGTTAACCTCTCTTTTATTAAGTGTAACGTGATTTATTAAGTGTAACGTGATTTATTAAGTGTAACGTGATTTATTAAGTGTAGCGTGATTTGTTTCGTGCGTTACAGTTTAACGGACATTGTTTTTATCTGTAGATTTTTATTTTGTGTTTGGATGTTTCCTTCTAAGGTCTTGTCAATCTAATTGAAAAAAAAAATGTAAGTTTTCTGAAATATCCAGTATACTCCTTAGTAATTTTACAAACTTTAACGTTTCTGTGATCTAATCATTTTCAAGGATTTGATTACTTTTATTTACTCCCCTTCTGAAATAATAATACAGGCACTTCTTCCATGTTGCGCAGATTTCTTTCCACACAGTGATCACAATTACATTATTTATTTTTTCTCTCTAACTGTATATTTGTTTGTATATTCTGATTAAAAAAAAACAAAAAAAAAACTTGACCCTTGAAGTGCTCTTGTTGAGACTTGGGGGTCAATTCGTACACAGCAAAAACAAATAACAACAACAATAATAATATACTACGAACGGATTTCGTGGCTTCTGGTCTGAAATTATTAGAGCTGTTAACGTGTACATTATTTGTGAATTAAGATGGGTATATATATATATATTAGCAAATATATGGTACAGACCGGGATATATATATATATATATATATATATATATATATATATATATATATATATATATATATATATATATATATATATATATATATATAAATAAAAAATGTTTTAATAAATATTGTCGGACTTTGTCCACTTAATATATGACGTCATTTGTTTAATGGACAAAATCCGACAATTTATTTATTAAAAAACATTTTTATGTTCAGGTGGTTGTTCTTTTTGAAATAGATCTTTGTATTTAAGTGAAAAAAAATCCGACCATAAATCGCCCTTTAATTGATGAATTGTCTATTTTAATATATATTATTATTATTATTATTATTATTATTGCTATGGACACACTACCATTTGTTTGTGTGCTGTACTTAATTTGTTTACATTTGATACGCCAGCAGTTATGAATGTAACGAGATTCAATATTGTCCTCATCTTTGTCGCCATATTTATTACAACGTTTCGGCCTTCTTCAGGTGGTTGTCGAATGTCGGACTGAAACCTTTATCTCTTTGATTACTTTAGCCTTCAAACATGAAAAACAATCCACTCATCCGACCATGATACCGCCCTTTAATACCCATTATTTATGTGTTATTGCCTAAAATTCCTGAATAGGGATGTGTTATTATTATTATTATTATTATTATTATTATTATTATTATTATTATTATTAATAATATTATTATTATTAATTATTATTATTATTATTATTATTTATTATTATTATTATTTATTATTTTTTTTAATTTTATTATTTATTATTATCATTATTAATATTATCATTATTTATTGTTATTAATATTATTTTAATTATTTATTATTATTAATATTATTATTATTACTATTATTTAATATTATTTGTTATTATATATTATTATTATTATTATTATTTCCTTCGGTTTCTGTTGTACAGACATTTCCTTCTGGGTTCCAACCAGAGACCTAAGGTCAAAAATGGCTTCACATTTTCCACTGATTATTTTTGTAAAATAAACAGCAAAAAAACAAAACAAAACAAAACAAAAAAAAAACAACAAAAAAAAAGACCCCAAATCCCTTAAGGTCACACACATTTTACATAGATAAATCTCTTCATAAGGTGTCGGCTGTCTTTTTGCGTACAATATTTTGTATTTCTTTAAAGCATGGGCTACCCGGAATTCCTTCAATGAGTCTATCGGAACGGAATCTTTTCCAATCAGTCCCAGGGCTCCAATTACGTATGGAATTATTGATGTCCTCATGTGCCACATTTTTTTTAGATTTCCACTTGTATTTTGATTGTTGTTTTTTGAAGATCTTCAAAGATACATTACAATCTGCAGAGACTGCCATGTCAATAAGAAAGCACATTCTTTTTTTTTGTTGTCTTTGACGACGATGTCTGGGCGATTAGATTTGATTGTTCTGTTTGTGCGTATTGCAAAGTCCTATAAAATTGTTACAAGTCCTACCTCTGTAACCGGGTCTGGGTGATATTCATACTAGTTTTTTGCAGTTTCCTTCAAGTAAAAGTTGAAAAAAAATCCCAGTGCAGATATTGGCGCAGTGTATAGTTTTATATTCAGTTGGTGTTAATACTGTGCAACCTGATACAAGATGGTCAATTGTTTCTGGATATTTATCACAGAATTAGCATTTGGGCTCAACGCAATTTTTCAGTATGTGTCCTTGGTTTATTATTATTATTATTATTATTATTATTATTAGTAGTAGTAGTAGTATTAGTAGTAGTAGCAGTAATACTTGTTCTCCTTTTTCATTTCGACACAGAACAAATACGTTTTAGACAAGATATGCTAATGCAAAATTTTACAGAAGTAAATGCTTGTGCTGGCACGAAGTAACAAGTCATCGTGACTGAGGGTTTGAGCGTAGTGATTCTGCTCATGTGCCTGAGCAGGCTTCTGCAATAGGCATTGGTTAGTTGCCATCGCAGATGAGTGTGCATGAAAACGAGTAACTGGTCATTAATAGACTGTATCAAAAGTATTTTCGTTATTTATAGTTTGTTTATACTTTACTCTAAAGTTTATTTAATTCACACAAAACACTAAAGACTATATGACACTGTTGTAGTATTATATTGGCAACGAGTCGATGAGAAGTACGACTCTGATTTCAAAGCCAGTTGGGCGTGCTGCTGACAATTCTAACCCGTAAAGCCACGGCAACAACACAGGGAGTTTGAAGTTCAGGCGGATAGATAGACAGACATTTTAAACTGCCTCAAAGCTGAATAGAACGTAGATTATGAAGACAGAAACATTCGGAGAAGCTAGAAACATTGAACTATTTCTTCTAGAGCATAGGCTTTTGGTTTTGTTTGGTCGGCGACATATCAACATCTTTATGGGTCATTAATGCCGAAATTTATTTTTTGGGGGAGCGTTAGTAATTTTATTACAAAAATGTATTGCTGTTAATATTTTTGCTATGAAAATGTACTGCTGTCACCTTCACTATGAAAATGTATTTCTACACTTTCATATCGTTTTGATCCCAGGGTCCCAGTTATGGGAAAATAATGATTTTCCCATAGCTGGGACCCTAACAGGTGATACCACCCTGGGTCTGAATGGAAGAATAGCAAGTAAGCGGTGGCTCTACACTCCCCAAAACCTCACGTTCAAAGGCCTTGCTGCCGGATACCCAGGACGAAAGACATAGGTGATTATGTCTCTCCTCTACTTGCTATCTCGTGTAAATCTTAGCATTTTTTTCTCTTTGTTAAGCTCCCCCACCCTCCGCCATTCTTTCTTTCAGTCAACCTCGTCGGGTAAGTGGCTCCCACTAGCTCTCCACTAGAGGTTCCGTGACTGGGCATTATATCAGAATAATAGTCAGTCAGTTTAGGCGATTATGTACCTTTCGATACATGACTGACGTGGCAGTTTTTTTTTCAGCGGGAGACCAGTTGCCATCCGAGGCTATAGAACCAATTATTAGCACGCAAGTGAATGTAATGGTTCGACTGAAAAATTCGAACTCGGCACTCCGATTCCCAATCCGTGATATATATATATATATATATATATATATATATATATATATATATATATATATATAAAATATATAAAAAATAGGAAGGAACTGGTTAGGTAAATAATATTTTATTATTTTTTAAAAAAAAAATTTCGCTTGAAAATTATATTGAAGTTTTAGGCTCTTGCTTTGAAACATGAGACTTCTTATGTAGCGTTTTGAGTCATATTTTAAATAAATAATTTATATATATATATATATATATATATATATATATATATATCACGGAATTGGGGAATCGGAGTTATATATATATATATATATATATATATATATATATATATATATATATATAATTATTTATATATAAAAATAGGCCTAAAATTTATATAATTATCAATAAGATTTTTTTTATATA